GGCTGAGAAGTTGGATGCCGCTCCGAGGATGAATTGGATAAATGTCATGAAAGCTCCGCGTTGGTGCACAAAGAATAGGTCACCAATCATCGAGACAACGAGGGATTCAAAAGCGGACCTAGTGGACAGTCAGCATGGCTTGACAGGTGCGCATGTATTAAACTTACACAGAGCCACCTTGAATGATGCGGCCGGCCATGAGGCCCTCGTAGCTATTCGAGGCACTGCCGATGACAGTTCCGAGTAGGCCGAAGAGTGACGCGAGAATAAGCTGAGGACGCTTTCCGTACTTGCGAGACAGCGCGTTGACTATAGGTCCAACACCGCCGGTGACCAGTAGCATGTATCCTGAGATGAGGGTAATGTCACGAACAGACTTGTTAAAAGTTTTCGCAATGACCACCAAAGCAGGAGACAGGAGCGGAGAAAGCACGGCAGCATAGAGGACTGATCCATATGCCACAATCATCATAATGACGAGCTTCTGGGTATGCGGCCAGTTGAGTGGATCATTAGGATCTTCAGACCTGTTTGTTTGTCAATCCTGCTGTTGGCTGTGGTACCTGACAGACTCACGGCTGTGGAATGAGAATAATTTCTGAATCTTTGCCAGTGCCACGTTTTAGTCCGGCGGGAGGAGCGGTTCCTTCAGCGACATTTGTCAGAGGATTTTGATCCTCGCTCAAGACCACAGTTGCTGGAACATGAGCAAGGTGCTTATCCTCGGCGATTCCTAGGAACCCCATGATGAGCCACTATACCAGAGGGCGACTTGGGGAAAAGAGTGCAATTAATAAACAAAGATATAGTAAGAGGTTGTACAGATACGAAATGAAGATAGTGACCACTTTGAGGATGACGATGCCTGGTAGGCGAGAAAATCTGGGGCAATGCGCATGTTAATAAGTATATGCTGTCCCCAGTCACTTGCCAAAACATCCGTTGTCGATCGGGCCAGGGTGACATGCGCCAACAGGTGGTCTATTACCTAGAACATGTTCAGCGAAACACCCCACACAATTCTTACACTGATTGCATATAGAGCCCCACAGAGGGTGATCGGCAATTCATTTGCTTTGGCAGGACAAGATTGGGGAAACGGGCCTATAAGCACGTGGATCTTGTTACAGGGAGACAGTAGCGCGTCTTCTGTGTTTGAAGGCACTGCAGGGCCACGTTAAATGTCCCAACATATGGATATGCATGGCTTTGGGTGTATTTAGCCTGTACTGCAATGCTGTTGTCTGTCAGCAGGGTGCAGACCTGTATTCTGACAAGCATGACATGTCTGAATGGAGCAGATATGTACTTAAGGGAGATGCAGAGAAGATACTACGTACAAGTGCTTTTTCTCGCTTAACCAACTGCCATGAGGCCAAGTCGAGTAGCTCAGCCACCCCGGATTTTGCGGAGTGTGAGCACGCTAGATACCCCGCAAAAGCCCCACAGCATCTGTTACACGTATCACAACACTGCGTAAGAAGACGGAGTTTGGTTTGGTCCATCAGCGCCACACTAGTTGCCAGTTGTACGCGGTCTATACATCTTCTTACCCCACGATCTTTCGCATGCTAGCTGTGAGAAAAGCATGGGGCGCGCCTGAGACATTGCGGATGGAGCTATTGATTTCTTTTCCACCTGTTCCGTGGGGCACAGGCCAACCCATGGCAGTACAGCATACCTGGTTGGTTAGAAGCTTGGGGTACGCAAGCCACTACTACTGTCCTGATGCGTGTGGCTTTGTGGGGGATTGCGAAAGTGTGGAGGGTTCTTCCCCGATGGCTGGTAAATCTGGGGTAATATGGGGTACATAGGTAGTATTACTGCCGTCAATGGACTCTTGGTCGACAAGATGACCGCGGCATAGCGACAAACTAATCCACAGGCAAAGGGGCGATGTGATGCTCAATAGCCAACAGCCACAGGCTAACGGAAGCTCTGGAATGTATGAGTCGATCAGGTGATGTCTTTGGTATTGGATCACAAGAGATGGCTTTGTATGGCAGTCTCATGAAATGAATCTAGTCGTGAAATTGAAAGCTTCGGCACAGAGGGTGGTTTTACCGTTCTTCTTTTCTGTCTACATCATCAGCCAAACAAGGCTGCGAGATGCTTTCTCCAGACTATCAATTGGCTGGCCAGATGATATGTACGTATGCCATGACTCCTACTTCTATCTTCCCCAAGCCTACGCCGATACGTGTAGATATAAAGAGTGTGTGTTGATGTATTGCAGCTGGCAAGATAGACGCGTTGAAAGGCAGCAGGAGAAGTGATCATCTTCGGCGCTGGGGGTTACCTCTACTACTGTTCTTGGCTCTTCCTTTCTAGACTTCTGCTTCATCGGTTTCGAATCATAGGTAGCGTAAACGAGATGAAGAGGAAAGCAGTGCTGAAAAGTGGGTAGCTGGCATACCTCTTGGAGGCGGCCATGAAGATTGCCCGGCTAGATCGTGCCATCACTGGCTAGGGCTCTAACCTCATTCTCACCATCCTCATGCAGTGTTGGAGTAAAGGTTCTTTTTGCCTGTGAGAAGGTCACCACGCGATAGTGGACCGTCCGTGCTCCTCCGTCGTGCTTGCCGCTTGTGTTTTTACCCCACAAACATAGTCCTCTTACTCCATCCCTTGTATCCTCACGCATGAAAAGACAACCTGCCTTTACCAGTGATGGCACAGAGGCAGGAACCTCAGATGGCATTCCAGTGTGCTATCTGTGATGAGGCCTTCATCACCAGGGCTGAACTAATCCGCCATACTGCAGCTCACTTTCGCCATACTACACCTCACTTCCGCCACGCTGCACCACCCGGACTCCTTTGTGATGTTTGCAAGTGGGATTTCGATGACTCACACGCATTGGAGCTTCACCAACGTCAAACCGGCCACGGCACGTCTGACTTCTTCTGCGATAGATGCAACCGACGCTTCATCTCGCAAGCGAGCCTCGACGATCATCGCAAGCCGCCATTGGGGTGTGCCGATACACTCAAGGAGCCAGAAGAAATGGCAGTCTTCTGCGATCGTTGTGAGAAGACCTTCAGCAACCAGAAGCGCTTTGGCGAACACCGAAGCAACTTAGCGAACGCGTGTGCCGACTGGAAACACACGCCGCCCAAGAAACAACTACAGTCGGCTTCAAAAGGCTACATTGACTTGGACAAGCCCAAAAATGATTACAGTCAGGTTGTCAATTCCTATGACGATCTCACGCAACATTCAGATGGGTCGACGAACACCGGCAATGGCGAACTACGATGCAAGGACTGCAAGAAGAAATTCCAATCTCAGGGTCATTACAACAACCACTTTCTGGCATGCATGCCAGGCGAGTCGCGCTTACAGCCTGATCATGTCATGGGAACTTACAGCAAAGGGCTTCAGGCTACACCTTCCCCTACCGAATCATGGCCCCTGCCAGTGGCAAGGAAGAAGAAATCTGCTCGACGACTAAAGGCTAAGGCTTCTAAGCATATGCCAGTACAGTCAGTTACATCGGAAATGGGCAAGCTTGCACTACCTCAAGAGCACCATGCCTCGCCCGCCACTTCTGCTCCAGCTACAGATACTGACACACATATCTGTAATACCAAAGGCTGTGGGAAGACTTTCAGGTCTGAGGCTGGTCTCAAGCAACACAAGATTGATATTCATGGTGTTGGCGGCCAGAAATTGGATATAAGCGGGCGCGACTCTTGGATGCTTAACGCGCGAGAAAGAGAACGATTGAAGCAAGAAGGTCTTCTACGAGCACCGTCTGGGCCAGCTTATGGTCATAAGGGTATCAAAGCTCCCGCTCAAGCTCCTCAGCCCCTTGCCCTCCGACCGTCCATAGTACCCCCTGGGGAACGCCCTGCACCAGCACAACATCATATGCCGCCAGTTCAAGCAAGTGGTGTGCCGGCAATCACAAGCATGGGCAGTGCTGCCGATATGGAGCAGGCCAAGCAGATCCAAGTGCGAGCTCTACGCCTACTGATTCAGTCTGATATCTTCATACACTATGATGGCGGCATGACTGTCGGTGGTATCTGTTGGACCAGAATCTCTGTCGCGAAACAGCCCGAGGTTGTCGGCATGCTCGATAACATGTGCCACTTACCCAAGATGCTTCAAGGCGAGTATGTGCCAGCACCAAAGGCATTCATGGATGAGTACAAAGTCTACTACGATCTCGCCGACTTCGAGCCGTGCCCGGTCCAAGATCCAGTAAAGCCATGCTTGGGTGTCGTTGCTCTCTCATGCAGCAAAGTCGTACTTGAAGGTGGCCGTCTCGAAGTTGTCAAGATTGCAGCTATCGATCTCGTCACATGCGGCATACTCATGAACCACCTCGTATGTACCGATCCGCGCGCACACGTCACCGACTGGCGTTCGACAGTCACCGGAATTTCTAGCTGGCTCGACATGGAAGCAGCTCGAAATGCTGGCTACAAGATCTTCAAAGGCTGGTCAGCAGCCCGAGCAGCCCTACAAAAGTATGTGGATAGTGGGACGATCATCGTAGGCCACAACTTACGCTCAGATCTCGATGCTTTACGCATAGTTCATGGCCGTGCCATTGACATTACAAAGGTGGTGGAAACGGCAGCCAGCGGTTCACTGAGCAAGGCACAGTTGGCTCTGGATAGCTTGTGCCGCGACTATACTGAGAGAAATCTGCCAAGTCACGCTGTGCACGGCCGCGATTGTCTCGTGGATGCGTTTGCGATTCGCGAGTTTTTACTCTGGTCTATCAAAAATAGGAAGAAGTTTGAGAAGATTGCGAAGCAGAAGAGTGTGGATTACCAGCGCATTCGACCTGCTAGGGATGGTACAGCAGCACCCTGAAAACGGAATAGTCAGCGAGTATGAAATGCGTCGCTCATATAATGTAATGGAGGATGAAGGGGATGGAAGTGGGAAAAATTGAGCATGTACACACAGTGAGACGAAACGGGGTAGGTAATGAGAATAATATAATGTAATTCCCATGAAGAGAAGGTGACACTTGCATTACTCTAAGCCTTCGCCTTCGCCTCCTCCTGCTCCTTCTCGACAACATCAACCACAAACGCACCACCCAGCAAAATCGCCGGCTCCTCGATGTTATGATGCTCATAACTCAGCGTGCCCACACCCCCGGCCTCAAGAATCAAACTCGGATTCTCCTCTAACCGCTTCCCCACCCAGCGTGCCGCGAGCGCCCTCAAAATATGTCCATGCGCCACGATGAGCACATCATTCGGTTTCCCATCTTTGCCAAACCGTCCTTTGTGCCATTTCTCCCTCAGCTCACCAATAAACGCATCAAGTCGCGCCGTTACATCCTCAGGACTCTCGCCGCCTTCGCACCCGTCGCGCCAAATATCCCAGTCCGCACCTAACCCGCGGCTTTGGCGATCTTGCTTGATTTCCTTTGTGATGCGGCCTTCGTAGTCGCCGTAGTCCCATTCGCGGACTGCCTCTGTGACTTGTATTTTAGCGTGCGTGCGTATGTCGGGCCTGTCGTCTTGTTGCGATGACGAGGATGGAGACCAGGGGTATCGATCTTTGCAGCCGAGGTTGAGGAGTTCGAGGGTTTTTTGGGCGCGGGTGCGGGGGGAGACGTAGCTATGTTATTTCCATGTTATTTAGTGTCTTTGAGTTGGGTTAGGGGTGTGGTAAAGAGAATGGCAAAATACATGTGAGCTAAGTTGCTAGGTACGATTAATCTGTCGTCGCCTACGAGGGCTTTGCCTGTTGCTCGGACGCGCTTCTCGCCGTTTTCGGTCAAGGGGATGTCCGAGACGCCTGTGTGTCGGCCGTTGAGGGACCATTCTGTTTCGCCGTGGCGGATTATGAAGACGCGTGGGTCGGGCATTTTTTTTTCTGGGCTATTTGTTTATAATTGTATAGAGAGGGGAGACGATGCGTCGCGTTGTTTTCAATTGCAAGAGAAATTCATGAAAAGATATGCGCTGGAGCGGAACTCAGCAGAGCAATCAAACAACGAAATTAGACGAGAGAAGTAGATTGAGCAATTGCGAAATATGCGGTAGCTGTCGGAACGACTGTTGACTACTTATGACGTCTGCTCATGTTGGTAATGGTGGGGCAGGTCAGGAACGCCATTGTTACGTTACCCCACCATGTCCCTAATCTGTAGGTGTAGTAAGGCTTGGTCATCAGCCTTACTCATGGAGTATGAATAGAAGCTTTTCCACATGGATCAAAGCGTGCGGCCAAGTTTGTAGAATGATTAAAGGAAAGGTTTTCATAGGCAGTTGTGACATCGGAATCTTTAAAGACACGTCAGATTCAAGGTGAGATATCCAAGTTGAAAGAGGTGACAGCTTAAATGATAGTTTGCGGAATGCTTGCCTGCACTTCCCATATCTCCTGCCGCGCATAACAGCCAGAACCGACCTGCTATACTCATTCAGCACTAGTGTCCGCAACGCACTGGAAGTACCATTCTAATCAACGTTAGTTTTACCAATCCATGCTTGATGACAAGTATCTGTACGAACCGTTTTGCTCCACACATTTTGCTCCCTTTACGCACTGGGTGCAGCCTGTCCAGGGCTTGCCGTCGTGCCAACCTCCACACTTGTAGTAGAGAGGCACAGGGCATCTAGTGCTACTCGGGCCGACCTCCTCGGTAGTAGTCTTGGTTGGTGGGACTACAGTCTTTGTGCTTGTTTTGATTGTAGTCTGTGAGGAACTCATTAGCTACAGCGCGAATCGCCGATAGCAAGAAGTGGTTTGAGTCATATAAATAGACAGATGGTGCACTTACCTTTGACGGGGTAGGAGTCGGTTCTGGCTTCTTGCTTGTTGTCGTTACTTTGGTTGTCGTTGTGACTTTGCTCGACGTCGGCTTTGGTGGCTCAGACGTTGGTCGACTGATGTTGTCACTGCAGCGTCCTCCAATACATGTTATGATGTAGGTCTGTCGCGGCTCAAGTTGAGCTTTGTCGGCCGGTACCTGTAGCAGGATCAGTGAAGCACATGCAATAATGACACAGTCACATACGGCTCCACACAGTGTCAAAAGGCTCGCGTACAAGATGGCAACCGTGATAAGATGCATAGTGGTGAAGTAAAGTGAAACTTGGTAAGAAAATGATACAGTTTTGAGCGTTTGACTGAGGGCTAAGTCGATTCACATTGAGAGCATCTTATATAGAGTCGTGACTTCAATTGTAGGATCGAGCAACATGGCTTAGTTCTGAATTCTGATTGTCCGCGGCTCCACTGTCAAGAGCATTCCAGCTAGACTAGAACGCCATACGAGGTCTGGCTAATTTGTCTGGGTATTCACCGATATTGTGGCTACGCGATGGATGCTGAGCATCTGATGCGCATGACAGGTCCTTGTGCACCATCAGGAAACGATACCTTTGGGAGAGTTCATGATTGAGAATGCAGTTTAGGCACCAATGGAAATAGCAAACTCCGCATCCCAAAGGCCATAATGATGATGTCGACTATGTTGAGATGATCCGTAGCGCATTGCCTGGTTTGTGAATGGGTGAACTCATCACTGCCTTACTCAGCTTGATCCAATGTCCAAAGGTCGGCTATACCGTACAATCCTTTGCAACTGGTGTGGATTCTATTCTTATCGGGTTTCAAGGCGGTTGGGCGGAAAGGTGTTTTAGCCGCAAATTGAGAATCAGGCCATCCTTGTCTACTTAACAGTCCCACATAATGCTTGTGGTGCTTATGGAAAATGTGATTCTGCACATGGCGCATGAGCAGATTATCCGATGCAAGCAGTGAGAGTCAATCGGGGTCTAATACGGGAAATCCGGGTTGCAACCAGGAAACATGCCTCTGGGCGTGCCGTGATGTTGGTTCGGCTGAATATACAAGTGGAAGAGCTGATGCACAGTGGAAAGTTCCAGATTACCGGGTCCAGGTAACTCGAGTAAGGTCTAGACGGTTAAGGCAATCAGACTATTGACGGCCTTTTAGGTAAGGGTGAACAAGAACCAGTGTCTAGAGCAAGAGCAGAACCCTAAGCTCACTCGCCAATCAACCCATCTTTTTGCAAGATACTGGGGTCTAATAAATCCCCCACGCCTATCCACTTGCGCACAAGGAGTGCGCCTTGCGGTCTAAGCTTCCTGTAGTATCCCTCCTCTTTGCCCACGATATCGAAGCTCCGCTTCTTGTACCATTCCATGCCCTCCTCGTTTGCCTCCCATACGTGCGCTGTGACGGAACGTACGCTATGGAGGTCGACGGCCTTTTTCACGATGGCTTGCAGCAGGTGCATAGCAATGCCGTGGGAACGATAGGGAGCGAGTACGCCCAAAGTAGAGATGTATAGTTGTGAAGAGGGAAGGAGCCGACACCGCACAGCACCAACGAGTTGCGACTGCTCTGCCGAAGGCTCGTTGGCTTTATCTGCAGGGGACGAGTGCCATACTGCCACGAGTGTGATGCCGTGATGCGGCTCCGTCATGGTCTCTTTATAAAATGATTCTGGGTACGATATCGGCAGGGTAAGGGTGTTTAGGCGCTTGAATGCCGGCATGAGGTCTTCGGTGAGTGGCACGAGTTGGACGTTGGGTGGCAGAGGACGAAGGGCGAAAAGCTGTGGTTTGGGGGGTTGCTGGACTGGGAGAATATTAGGGGAGGGTATTGTCGAAGCAACAGGAGTGACGGCGCGAGATGAGCGAGGGCTCTTCTTCGACTTGGGTCGCGAAGGTGCTTGTAGGAAGTCATCAGGGATATCATTCCAGTTCTCCATGGCAGAGGGCGTTGGTGTGGTGGTAAGGGGCACGCCGGTTGGAGCAGAAGCCGACTTTGGAGGAGGGGGTGGACGGTTGGTCTTTGGCGGCATGACTACAGGCACATTCCGATGCTGCTGGTGCTGCTTTTCGGAGCTGGACTTTTTCAGCCAGCTGGTCAGCGAAGACTGCATGGTGGGGTGGCGGGAGAGGGGCGAGTGTGGCTATTAGGGAACGGGCGCAGTTGGAGAGGCTGAGGAGAAAGTTGTAACGAATGACTTGAGAGAAATAACGCGGGTACAAAGGAAGGAGCGTTGTATGAAGTGCTGGGGGTGAAGGGCGGAGGTGTCGGTATATACCAAAAGCCAAATGTCGCGATAGTTGCATGGTGTTTTCCCAGCGCGCCCAACTATGGAGGGATGGCGTGCAGGGATGGCGGCTAGCGTGCTTTTGTCGGCCAAGCCTCAACTCGGACTTCTTCGACCAAGTGCATCATCGCTCCACGACGCCCGCCGTCCCACCATCGCAACAATGGGTGCCGAGAACTCGAAACCCTCGTCTGAGGTCAAGCAGCATGTCTTCTCCCCGTATGTACATGCCCGCCTAGCCAATGGCATCCCCCGCGCGCCATGGGCCCAGCGACAAGAGTGACGTCGGGTGCTGACCAGTTTGCGCGCAGAGATCACCCCGTCAGCTTCTCCAATGAGCTGGTCGGCTCGCTGCAGAAGAATCCTTTCGTACGCGCTCTCCAAATCAAAATGGCCGGCGGCGACTGACTGCGAACAGACAGACTCGGCACGGTCAAGACAATTGGAACTTCAGTACCAGGAACGTCTGACAGCTGAACTCGAAAAACTGCGCGCCCAAGAGATTCAGAACTTCAACAAGATCAGCGAAACCTTGTCGGACGAGATCCAGCAACCCAGCGAGCCCTCGCTTGTCGAGAAGATTCAAGATGCCACATCCAGCAGCTCCACGCTCGCTGAAAAGCAGAGGCAAAAGGACATGAGCAGGGACAGCGTCACCAAGGAGATTGAGCGCCTCAAGGCCAAGCTCGAGCAGAGAAAGAAGCTGGAGCAGGCTGACGCCGACGTGACAAAGGCAAAGGAGGCCGTGGTCGCGTGCCTGAGGACCCACGACCGCCGCCCGCTGGACTGCTGGAAGGAGGTGGTGGCTTTCAAGCACGAGGTCGGCCGGCTGGAGAAGGAGTTCGTGCACAAGACAATCTCATGAGTGACGTCACATGCATGTTGTTGGCACGAGCTTCGAGGCTGGTACTTTCTGTATAGATAGATAAGGCGCAGTGAATTAGCCTGGACGTCTTCCTCGTTCTTAGAATCGTTGTGCCAATTGACTCCCAGTCTATGTATCTGCTCTTTCACTGCTTGTCATCGCTCCTCCCAAATTAGTTTGCCTCACCACATTCACCTTCACTGCAAAGCGGCGTCCTCTGACTTGATCCCTTCACTTCACCGCAATACATTAGCGGGGCTGTCTTCATTCATCCGCTACTCCAAGATTCACGCACAAACTCTCTATTGGCTACTTCTGGCCGAACACCTCACCACTACACAAATTGACATTCTTGCGTAGAACAAAGCTCTCAGCAATCATATTTCTTCTCCTAACCTCTACTTTCAGTGCCTAGTAATCGAGCAGCATCACTGCAATATCATTGCAACAGCCACACGCAAACATGTCTGCATCACACCCTTACGTCCTCGATAACGATGACGACAGGCCTATTGACAATGAGGAGAGCGAATTTGATCTAATCGACTATGGTAAAATATCTCTCTAAACATCTTTGCATCTTTCACTAATGCTCTGAGTAGACTCTAACGATGACGAGTCCGAGGTTATTTCTCATAATCCCTGTGCCAGCTCGACTGCCTCTGGACCCAACCTTGCAAGAGCTTCCTCACTTCAGCACTCAGAAGTCTTGATAGAAAGCTACCGCTTGGGCAAAGGTTTAGTTATTAGACCAGAGCAAACAGTCGAGCTGCATGACCACTTGACATATGAAGTCAATATCAGGCATAGTGGTGATTTCCTCCGCGTCAAGTACATCATCATGAACTTGGAGACGGATGAGGTCCGGCTCCGTGGTTATCGAATGCGACGCGTCAAATACCTTGGCCAGTTGTTTGACTGTGCGTATAGACATTCTATCTAGATACACCAAGATTGGCACTAACATTATCAAAGGGAAGTTAAATGAGCTCGCAATGGTACTGCGTATCAAGGAACAAGACGACCGCACTCCACTCGTTGCTGGGCTGGAAGATGTCAACATCGATGAAGTTTACCGCATACGCGATTGTACGCTAACTAATAAGCCGTACCCCTTCCTCAGTTTCCGGACTAGTGGCAGATTGGCTGTGCCTGTTGGCATAAATCAGGAAGAGATTAAACTCCAAATCTTCCATGCAGGGAGACTCACTTGCAGAGTTATCAACATACAATACATGAACCAACACGGCAAATCATACAGTGGCGTTGTCCGCTATCTCTATGGAGAAGAGGCAGACAAACTTGGGAACGTGGATCAGTTGACGCAAGCCGGTGCATCTCGAAAGAAAGCAATATCTATCGGAGTTGAGGATGATGATTGCGTAATTGTTACGAAAGATTGCTTTACTTCTAGGAACAGGAAGCGTCGTAGGCGCGCCGATTCTTCTGGTTTGGCCACTCCAAGAAGCAAGGCCACATTCAGTAGCAAGAGAGACCAACTGACCTATGGAGACGTCTATTGTGGCGTCGGTGGTGCATCTCAAGGCGCTTTGCAAGCGGGTTACTCAGTTGCTTGGGGGTTGGACAAAGATGATCGCGCTGTCGAAGCTTACAAGCTGAACCACCGTAGTGCTTATGCGTTCAAGATGGATGCACACAATTTTCCGCCACCAGATATCAGCAAGGAGGCATGGAGGGTAGATGTCCTTCACCTTTCACCTCCATGCTGTTATTGGAGTCCTGCGCAGTAAGTGCTACTGCTTCTTGTTCACTACTTTTAGTACATACTAATGCCATGTCTCTACTAGTACTCAACCAGGACCGAATGACCAAGAAAATTATGAAGCCTTATATACGGTTGGCCCAATCCTGAAGAAAGTCAAGCCTCGAGTGGCAACACTCGAGCAGACCTCTGGTCTATTGACGAGCCGAGCGCATAAACGTAACTTTTTTACGCTGCTCAATGACATTGGCCATGCTGGATACGACTTACGATACAAGATCCAAGACTTGTCAGAATTTGGTCTCGTGCAGCAACGTAAGCGGCTTCTTATCATTGCTGCTAGGTATGCACTTACGCTATACTGTTCTGGTTCCTGTAGGCTAATGTCCTATACCTAGGCGTGGGATGCCTTTGCCACCTTTCCCGAAACCTACACATGGGCCTCCTGGTAGCGGCCTGAAGCACCTTGTCTCCATCGCAGATGCGCTCCTGCCACTGAAACAACTTGGGTATGAAGCCGCTACCGATCCTTACAACCAACCTCGATTCTTCGCTTCTCCTAGAACACCCTATAACGTGAATTCACATCTGAAAGGCTGCATCACCACAGGAGGTACTACCTCATATCATCCCTCTGGCACACGACCGTTCACCGCAAGAGAACTTTCGCTCTTTCAAAGTTTCCCGCCTAACTACCAATTTACTGGATCGAAAAGTGAGGCGACGAAACAAGCAGGAAACGCATTTCCACCTATAATGGCTGAGGCTTTGTACCGCAGTATAGCCAAAACTTTGAAGGCATACGACCAGGACCTGATTGGAGCGGGAAACGTCGAAGAGCTTTCCAGAAATGGCGAAGAGATCATCAACTTACTCAGTGATGACGATGACGATGAAGAGATTGAGATTCTCAGTGACTGAGCCGCCACACAACATCTGGGCTCGTGCAACGGAACAAAGACCGAGCGTAAACATGTGCATGTCGAGGGATGCAAATCATTCCAATGTGGATCTTTATCGACGGTTTCATGCTTCTCGGTTGCATGCGGGGTTCTCTAAAGGGTTTACGTCAAAGGGTGATCTTCTGGAAACCTGTGCGGACTAGGTAGAAAAAAGAAAGTTCTCCGTTTTCTTAGTTCACAGATCGCCGCCATCCCGACGCCAGAAGGAAGTCCTACACGCTAAACGTGTTAGTGGTTACTGTCGATGCGTCCTGTCATGGCAATGTCTACGCGAAGGGACCGGCTAGACATTCCCGGGGTTTGTATCGTCGAATAACAAAAGATGGTTAGACTTTTCACTATCGCGTGCTATGGCTGAAGATCTTTTGTACATGTGCTTGTGACCAGAATCGATTTTTTTTTTGCGTTATTTGCACGAGGTATCTGCATATTTGTGCAATGAACCAAACTGTAGATGATGCTTGCAAAAAGTAAGAAAAAAACAATAAAATAAAATAAACTGACAACTCCTCGTTGGATATCCCCTCCCAAGAATACAAAAGTATGCACCTCGATGCGAGCTTCGCTAAACGATGTTTTAGTTCTAAAAATAAAAAAGAACCTCCGCCAGAACAAAAAGTAAGTAAGGAAGACCACACGGATATAAGAAAAATCAAAGACGAAGAGACAAAAAAAACCATGGTATCAGACGGAAGGGGAAGAGGAAAACGCGGGTATCAAGGTAACAGCGCCCTGGTCGGGAATGTCGTATGCGTCGTCGGCGCCGGCCTCTTGCTTAGCAGCGGTCTTGAAGCGGATGTCTGACCTGACATCGAGCACCTGGCCCGCCAGCTCGACCAAGTTCTGGCGACACAAGACCTTCTTCAGGACAACAAAGTCAAAGTAACTTTCCGGAAAGTCGAAATGAAGAGCCATGTCAGCGACGTGCAGGCGCGCTAGCGCCTTGCGGAATAGTGGATTGGCATCGGCCATGTAGAAGCCTGTTAGTATTCGCTGGGCCTCTACCCTGTCGTCATTGTCTTTGGTATTGCTGCTGCTGCCGCTGTTGGTAGCATTGCTAACACCACCACTGCTGCTACTGCTGCTACTACTATCATTGCCAATGCCAACAACCACAGCAGGCTCATCGAGATACCGCCGCGTGTCAGCGCACAGCTTGAGACTCAGCAGGCGCGTTTCGACGGCGGAAAGGAGATAAGATAAGCTTGTGCTATAGCGCTGCGCACCGACGCACACGGGTTTCCAGATGCCCGTCCGCCGGTCGCGAATCGTCTGCATGCTACGTGGGTAGTAGAGCAAATCTATCTCCAGATGCCGGACGAGTGGGAGATCGCGGAGTTGCAGTGGCGGCTCAAAGGCTCCGGACCCTTCTTCTTCTTCGTAGTCGTCATCGTGGTCTCCGCCCGGTTGACTGTCACTCCGTGCTGGTGGTGCTGGTGGCGGCGACGACGATGGTGGGATGGATGTGATGTAAAAGGTGTTTTTGCCAAAGAAGACGGATCGCGCTTCGTGGTGAATTTGTCGGTTTGTTCGCAGAATGGCTGTGTGCAGGTCGTATGTTTTGTCCTGTCGCGCGAGTTGGCCTTTGAGGGGCGTTGAGGCGACGAGCAGGTGCGAGTAGATGTTGATACGGAGTTCGGGCGGAAGCATGTCCAGAAATGCGGAATGTGTTGTGGGAGCCATGATTGGATTATTTTTCTTCCTGAGAAGACGTGGGGAGCCAGTCGTTTAAGTAATCTGGCGAGAGTCTGGCTTAATGTTTTTTTTGGCGTAGTTGTAGCACACTTGTTTTTTTTTTCAATGTGACGGTATATATATTTGCTGATAGGGTCTGGACGGAAGGACGGTTCAGGCAATAATAAGTCAGATCCTTCACAAGAAAAAAACGACGCCCCAATCCCTGGAGTTTGTGGCGACACACTCAGTCATCAACGAATTGATCACAAAAAAACAACAGCGCGGCACCCCTGGTTCTTATCCTCTTCCTTTGATGCGGTCCGCGCCATCAAGTGACCCCGTCCACATCGTCACTCTTTCCGAAGCACGTCCAATTTGTAACGCTTGATTCGCTCCACCTAGCGTTCTAGGAACGATATAGCCAGGAAGCCCTTTGCCGGCAATGTCTAGGAACCCTACCAGCAAGACGTCCATGCGCCCAAACACACCCTTCCAAATAGCCCCCCTAGACTCCACCACGCTTGACTTGCGGATCATCGATGTCCACAGGGATTAATTAGACGCGATATACTATGAGCAAGCTAGTGTTGTTCGGATGCATGTAGCCTGGCGCTTGTGTCTGTCCAGGAAAAGATAAAACTATGGCCGATGGTTCGGGAACGCAACTGCTGGGGAGGGCATGTCGAGCGGCTAACAGGGCCCTTTGTGCAATGGCCTTTTGATCAAGCAAGAATATGCGTAGCCAAATTCCTAGTGCGTTTCTGGAAACGATAGAACAAGACAGCGCGCCCACCACCCCCTCTCCCCCGGCGCGGAATTCGTTTCGCATATCAGCTACGCCAATGGTTTCGTATCCCAGGCTCTCCGAAAGCCCTTTAGCGACGGACGAGTACGCGCGAGCTTAGCTTTTTTTCCTTCCTGACGAACCGTTCTTTTTCTCTCTCGGCGGCGGGAATTACAGTGCTTGCGCAAGAGGAAGAGAAAAGCAAATGACCGAACCTGTGTATATCCTCGCAAGATGTCAGCATCGTGCCACGTCTGTATGTACACATACGAGAAGTGTCGAGCTATCTGTCCACCATGGAGGCCTGTCCACGACTACTGTACGGCCGTACATCGATCGGTCAAAACTCTTGGGACCTAAACCGCGTCCCCCTCAAATTTACCTAATCGGGCAGACTCGAGTAAACTGCAGCGTGCCCTGGTTATTTCCTCTAAAGGCATCTGTCTCTTTGTTTTCGGCCAAAAGCACCGAGCAAGCGGCGGCGCGCCAATTGTCTACTGCTTGTCCCCTTTGAAATGTCCCGCCCATCTTCCATGAGCTATTCGATACGCGAGATTTCCAAGCGGGACAAAAAACTCAAAGTCCTTTGGCCCATTTCCTGATAGTTGGGTAGTGTAACTGCCTCAAGGTTCAATCTCATTTTGTTCAGTGTGGCTATTTAGCTAGTGTAAGCAGGCCCCAAGAGCGATTTGGGACTAGTGGTAGTTTGGCAAATGTTAAGCACAGCTTGGGGGTGGCTAACAAGCAAAAATTACAACTCGTTGAAGAACTTGTCGACGCCACAGAGGCGAACGGGAGCGCACATGGAGCCCTGGGGGGATCAACACGCCAAAAGAGTGGTTGCAGTCGTGTTCGCGAATGACAATCGAGCCACAACACGACGCCGCTCCGTACACGTGCACATGGATCATCGAGGCCCCCCAAATGACAAGTTCCAAAATAACGACTAGAGTATCAGTCAAGAAGAGCGTTTTGCACCAATCCAAGCAACCTTCGGGCCTCATCCTCTCCACTCGACTGCCGCAGAAGCCGACGGCATGCCCCGAGTCGAGGTGCGCATTATCATGTTTCTGACGAATATACAGATTAGAGAGGCCGAAGGATTCATAAGCTTCTGCTCATTAGGCCAATGGAGACAGTTATGGAAGTATGAATGTACTATAGCTTAGATGCCTGGCATGCCGATCAGAGAAACCTCCGAGCCAATGCCGCAGCCCTGCACCGCGCTCTTTGATCTGTATCGTTGTATCTTCGGCAAGCCGTTGGTTCGTTCACCCTGAACCCCCGTCGTCGGGCGCTTGGGGCGCGCCACCACCCGTTGCTTCGCTTGCAAGGAAGAATGGCCAGGGAGAGAGAGAGAGAAAAGAGGACGGGTTGTGTGGCTGTCCAATCTGCGCCGCCTCGCCCTCTCGTCCCCCCCACCATGTGTCCGGATATGATTCCGCCCGCACAGCCCACACTCAAGGGACTGATCTATGCCTCTCTTTGTTTGCCGTGCATCGGGCATACAAAAGCGCATGCTAGGATCGGGCCGTTTGCGTGGCGGACACGCAAGAGAAAGACAGAAGAAGCTGTCTAGAACGGGTGTGCGTGAGGGTGGATACCAGGACATGCGCGCGCGTGTGTGGGTGGGTGGTGATGCAGTGCATGTGCGGCTCCGTAGGCCGAGACATGCAAGATGACAGGAAGGCAAGCCGAACGACTCCTTGGGCGTGGAAAATGGGGGAGTTTTCCTGCGTTCAATTTGTTGCGTGGTATGACGCCAGAATCGTACGATTTCAACAGTGACCACCCCCGCGTGCCATGGGTTCGTCAACGCCTTTGGCATGGTGCCGGTTACCTGCAGAGCCAAGCGTGGCTACATAAGGAACGACCCTGATCGGCAGCCGGTCAAACCAGCATCATGGGCTTGGGAAAACAACAGCAAATTGCAAAGCCCGAGTGACATGTCATGGACGGGCGGTCAGCGGGAAAAAGGCACCGTGGGCGAGGATCCGATTCGTGTGTCGAGAGTCATGGCAGATGCCGCTGGGCGCGTCGTCAGCGTCAGACGGGAGAACGTCGGTCAAACCATGTCAACACTACTCGATTTCTTCCGTCAGCTAAGAACAATGGCACAAACACAAAGTGCTTCCGATGGCATGGGGTTGGTGTAAGCACAGCAGCGGGTGCGATAACGCACTTGAGCTTGGTAAAGACGTTAGGCGCATTGGCAACCCCATACCCTTTCCACCCCCCCTCACAACCTCCCCACAATTCGGCACTTGAGCCTCAAAACGGTACTGTCTCTGACTATCCTTCTAGAACACACGAAGACTATGGTGTGCATTCTCTTGCACCAGAATGCAAGGAACTAACAACAAGCAAAGCAACACTTCCATGGAGATACATGCCACCGGATTTTCACTCAACAAGTACAGGGTTCAAGCAAAATAAGACTTGCCACATACGTGCACCTTTTTGCGACCCCTCTTCTCTCCAACCACGACAATGTCACGTCCAAAACACACCCAAGTAATTCAACAGCCGTTATTGACTCCCGAACCCATTTTGCCCAGGATGTCAAGAGTTCAAACTCCGCAAATCAAGCCCGGGATGGCTTTCATCAACCCTAGCCCCCAGCCCTCGTCCCCGCGAACCCTGTTCTCCCCGGTGCCCTGGGGTATGAGCCGAAAACCTCCCACTCCTCTTGAGCCGCGTGCCACTCCTCTAACCGAGCTAAACCCCAGATGAAGAGGAACGAAGAGCTGCATTTCCTCCTTTCCCACCTTCTTGACAATGGTACAAAAAGTCGGGCACTCAGGCAAAATGTTGACCAACATTGACCAACATTAACTTATCCATTGATCCTTGGTCCCGTCCCGTTCCAAGTCACTACAGCCACCTCGCTTCCCGCCCAGGCCCGCCATCAAGTCACGCCAGGAATTTCAAATCTCCGTCCTAGGTCCCGCAGGGGGCCGGGGAGTGGAATCAAATCCGCGAGATTCCGGGGGCGGGGACATGTGTGTGTGTGTGTGTGTGTGTGTGCGGAAACCATGTAAGAACGAGTGGGTAGAGTACAAGACGCGCTCACATGAAGCGAATGAGATCCAGGGGAACATTGTGCAAATTATCAGGTCACATCATTACCCGAAAAAGCCTGGTATGGAAACATTAACCAGGACGGGGATGTGTAAGATACGCTACGCCCAGAGCCACATCTGGAGTGAGCAGCATCAGGGATCCGTAATGTAAGATACACCCATCTGGTACCTACACTCTGGGCGCAGGGACGGGGACCAGGGATCCGTACGATACACGCCGAGTACCACATGGGTGAACAGCATCAGGGTCATGTTCCAAAAGTCGACATCCGACACTTGCCAAGCCAATAAGTATGTGTAAGATACACCGTACATCCGATCTGGGCGCCAAACAAACAGGGACACTAATATCTTACATACTTACGGCCACGTTCCGGCAAACAGAATCAGGGTCAGACCCAAAGGCCAAGCCACTAAGCTAATACTTACGTGTAAGATACAGACCTCCCCTGCATCCGCGCTGGGCAACATTACAAATCCGACTTACATTCAATACGCATTCACACGCACACATACACCACAGACGTACATCTTACCCAGCGAAAACTCACATACCCACCTTTACCAAACAATTATTTGTCAGGATCCATCCGCCTAGATCCTAACTTCCTCCCTTCTTCTTCTCTTGTCCGCCTCAACCACAACATAAGATTTACCCATACCCCAGCCTCATCGGTGAATCTCACCCGCATACCGCATCCGCATTCCCACCTATAACCCTCATCCACGTGATGTCGTTTTTACCTAAGCCGCACAATGTACCTTGCGCTTTTACCCTGCACTCTTACCCTGCGCTCTTCTCCGGTAACTCCGTAAACCCCAGGGGGACCATTGTGTAGCGAGAATATATTTCTCCCATATCCACCGCATTGAGCGCTAGACCCGGGTTCCGCGCAAAGAAGGAAAAAAATTGCTTAGTTTTCTTATCGTAGTAACCGTAGTTACACGGGTGTTGTAGTACCCCTTGAAATATCTCAACGTTTTTTTCCATCTTCTTCCCATTTAGAAACAACCGCACCCGCACATAGCGCCAGACCCCGTGTTCCGCGCCAGGAAAAAAAAAAGGTTGCCTACTCCTTTCGTACGTACGAAGTACACAACTTAGTAACCGGGTAGTGCGCGTAAGCAAAATCAGCCAAGGCTAAGTTCAAAACCCGGGAGGGCCCCTTATGTGTCTTGTATCTTTCACTATTCCCCCCTCCCCCCACCACACACCGGCGCCTGACTCGGGTTCCGCGCTAGACTGCTTACTTTTCATAGTAACACATGGGAAATGAGGGAAATGGCCGGAAAGATGGATTAGGGGGAGGGGGGGGGGGTTATTGAAGAATATTATACGCACTCTCGGATCACTAATTCGGTTAGGTGAATCGGAAAAAATAGATGTGTAGGCAGGGGGTGGGGGGGG